ATTTTTTATTGGGGAAAGCATTATTTAGACAACAAAACAACAAAAGAAACCTCATTTTTTATTGGGGAAAGCATTATTTAGACTTCGATTTTCCAAGACTTTATCTCCATCGACAAGAACTTTTGGTCTCTGCTTTGGTTTTAGGATTTTTCAGAAAGGTCTTTTTCTTTTTGGGCTGACCAGAGCTTCTGATCCCGGACCTATTTGTCTGACCCTTCGGCGTTCGGTCGCCATGAGCAGCGGCGGGACGGCGGCCGTGTCTCCACACGAGCCGCAGGCCTTCAAAAGGGCGGTGCGCAAGATCAAATGCGCCGCCATGGTGGCGGGTTTGGCCAAGAGCTGGCAGGGCTGGGCCTCGGATCACGCCGGGAAGCAGGACGCCATCCCTAGCGGCTGGATGCCCGCCTCCATCGAGGGGGAGGACGGAAAGGGGCGGAGCCTGGGTCAGACGGGCGGGGTTAAGCCAGGCGTGGTCCAGACGGGTGGGGTTAAGCCGGAAATGGTCCAACCGGGCGGGGTTAAGCCAGAAATGGTCCAGACGGGCGTTGTCCAGCCGGGCGTGGCCCAGCCGGGCGGGGTCCAGGCGGGCGGGATTAAGCCGAAAATGGTCCAACCGGGTGGGGTTAAGCCAGAAATGGTCCAGATGGGCGTTGTCCAGCCGGGCGGGGCCCAATCGGGCGGAGTCCAGCCGGGCGGGGTTAAGCAGGGCATGGTCCAGACGGGCGTGGCCCAGCCGGAAATGGTCCAGTTGGGCGGGGTCCAATCGGGCGTGGCTCGGCCGGGTGGGGTTAAGCCGGAAATGGTCCAGCCGGGCGGGGTTAAGCCGGACCTGGACTCCGTCAACGCCATCCGGACCAGCGCCGTCGTCAAAACCGTGCGTCCCAAACGGGACCCGAGCAACGCCCTGGTGAGCGCCATCCGGGGCAAGATGGAGGCCGGGCCCCAGGAGCACCGGCCCTTCCTGGGCAACGAGTCGCCCACGCGGCGCCGGCAGATGCGGGCGCTGCAGGGCGCCGCCGGGGGCGGGGGGGGGGCGGGGGGGGCGCTGGTCCAGGACAGGAAGCTGCTGCTGAGGGAGAATAGCAGCCTGGACGCGGAGGACAGCGGGCCCGGGGAGGACGGCGAATCAAAGGCCGAGCAGAACGAGGGAGAGGCCGCCGCCCACGGCAACAAGCACAAGGTAGGAGTGACCACGCCCAGAGGGTCAAACGCCCCCCTGAACACCCTCAGAGTAACCCCTCTGGCGTTTGCCACTTAACCTGTCGGCCACTTTTCGCTTCATTAGATAAAAGTTTAGAGCAACAGGAGACTGTCAGAAGCCAAAAACAGACGTCAGGGAAGCTTTTTTTTCATAAAAATCATCAGAAAAAAACTGTCTGCCTAAGTTGATTTGACCCCGAAAAGATGAAAAGATAATTTTTTGTGAGTAAAAAGAATTAATACAGTCAAAGAAAATGTGTGTTCAACAGAAAAACGCCCCCATAAACACCCCCAGAGGAACCCACAGGACCAGAGAGGTTCACCCCAAACTTTCGTCATTTTACGTGTCAGCCACTTTTTGCTCCATTATTTAGAAGTTTAGAGCGACAGGAGACTGTCAGATGCCAAAAACAGACGTCAGTGAAGCTTTTTTTCATAAAAAACTGCAGAAAAAAACTGTCAGCCTAAGTTTATATGACCCTGAAAAGATGCAAATATGATTTTTAGTGAGTAAAAAGAATGAATACAGTCAAAGAAAATGTGATTTAGACAGAAAAACCCACAAATCTTCAATCATTGTGCGTTCCTCCTTTTTCAGTTTGATAATAAATGTCAGTAACGCCTCTGAATCGGGAGGATAAACACCCTGAAATAGAGCCCGAATGTTCCAGGCGTGTCACATTTTTCGAGCGGCTTTGATGTCACCTGAAGACATCCAACTCCCGCTCAGACACCGAGCAGAACAACAGTTGCATAACTTCCCCCTTAAAAGGGAAAGCAGCCTCCTCGGGGCCCCTCCACAGGCCGGGGGGGGGGGGCAGGCTAACGGGGTCCAGCTCGTAAAAACTCGCAACAGAAGATGTGTCAATAAATAGAGTTAGAGCAGGACGCTCTCTCCCACCTGACCTTCAGGTAGAACAGCCAGGAGGCGTTTAGGGACAGGGAGGAAACCGGAGACGCTGGAGTTTTATCTGAGCAGCAGGTTTTATAAAAGTATTGCAAATATCATCTGTTTTGGATTGAAGACACGAGATAAATTGGAATTTATAAGGGGGGAAGCTGGTTCAGCGTGGGCTCCCGGCTGGTGTAAAGTAACGATTTCATGCAATAAAATCTAAATATAAGTGTTTTAAATGCCAGAATCTAGATGCCGTGCACAAAATCAAAGTTTACTGACGGAATATTAGCACTTTAATAACCGCAAATTATCAAAATACACCCAGGTTGGTGCAGATAAGAAGTTTTAAGCTAGGACGTTTTGCCTAAACCCCAATGACTTTGCAAAAAAAATCAAAACCAAACAAAAATCAGTCACAGAGTCATTGATGGTGGAATAAGTTTGGTATTACCTTTATATAAAGCTATACGTGCATAAAGAAGCTCAAATCTGCAGACAGAACCGTCTCAAAACGAAGCCCAAAATGCAAAATTCAACCAAAGAAAACTCTTTCAAAGCGCATTAATTTAATGACTATCTGAGATTTTCAAATCCTTTTTTTTTTTTAAAAGGAAGTAAAACTATCGCTGGTCCTGTGCAGATGAAAGAGGGGTAAAAAAAAAAAGCTAAACAACATGAAAGACGAGAAGGAATTCACTCCCAAAGTTCACACAGCTCAGGGAAAGACAAGTGGCTGTGGCAAGTCTTCACTCCACATAGAACGAATACCGAGGAGATGGAATGACTCTGAACTGAGAGGGACCGAGAGAAGGGGGGGGGGGGGCACCAGAGGCCAGTCCTTATTCAGAACACATCAAACTATTACAAAAAGCTGCACAAAGACTTTGATAATGAGAGTTTTGGTAAATATGTAATACAGTGGGGGAAATAAGTATTTGACCCCTTGCTGATTTTGCAGGTTTGCCCACTTACAAAGAATGCAACGATCTATAACTTTAATCATATGTACATTCTAACTGTGAAAGACAGAATCCCAAAGAAAATTCCAGAAAATCACATCATATGAATTTATAAAAATTGATAACCATCTGATGAGGAAAAATAAGCATTCTTTGTAAGTGGGCAAACCTGCAAAAGCAGCAAGGGGTCAAATATTTATTTCCCCCACTGTAGATGTAATACATGTAATGTATGTAATATATATATATAATGTAATGTAATGTAAATTTAATCTAATGTAATGTAATATATCCATACATAAAATAAAAATAAAGGCTAGTCAGTTTTCCAAACGTCAACATCGAAACCAGCTGACGCGCCGCCTTAAACCTATTTCTGGACGGTTGAAATCTGCTTTCGAGCACGTCTGTTTCAGGTTATTCGTCTTCCTGTTTGGTTTTCCTGGGTGCAAAGCAAAAGGCCGAGTCTGAGCTCTATTTCCACCATTTAAAGACCGAGGCACATTCATCTCGAAACCAGTTTGCTTGGTCCTGCTTTCGTTGGGTAAATTACGCTGACTGAGGACGAAGCAAACTGGTTTTGTCTGAATGGTATCTGAGCTCCTTCATTCATCCCATTGGTACTTTGAGAGGCATAAAAGTTGTTCGGATCAGCAGAGAATCAGATTTTGACCCTATTTTCATCCAAACAACAGCAGAAATGACATCCATATTCGGAGCAGAAGGGAAATTTTTTGAAAAATCTTAAGGTAGATTGTCTTTGATGTGTTCAGATCAAGGGCTCCAACTTTTTCTGTTGACCCTTTAATTACGTGGGGATCATAATTGTCTGTGTGGGGAATCTGGTAAAGCCCACAAACGTCCCTAAAATAATTTAAATATTGTGCTGAACTTTTGTTTTCATGTCTCTTGAAACCACATTTCAGCTACAACCTTTTGGATACAAAAGAATTAAAGGGGACATATTATGCAAAACCAAGTTTTTAATCATTTGATTATGTGCATTTGGGACTGTGGAGGACCTATCAGGAGGCAAAGTGTGAAAAAAAATGACTCAGTCATGTTTTTGTGGGCTGCCTCAGTCTGAATCCAGGAGATAAATCAGGAGGTTTCAGGAGTGGGTGGTTTCTGACGTCATTAGCTCTAGCTCATTATAATATTCCAGCCTTTCACCTGCATGTTGCCCCCCCCACCTCAGCTTACTCCGCCCATCTGTGGCAGACGGCGTGGTAGCGTAAGCGTTAGCGTGGTAGCGTTGGCATGGTAGCGTTGGCATGGTAGCGTTAACATGGTAGCGTTAGCATGGTAGCATTAGCATGGTAGCGTTAGCGTGCTGACGTGGGCACACCTCCCTGAAGAAGTGGGTGGATTGCCTGTGTCTCATTTGCATTTAAAGAGACAGGCACTCCAAAGCGAGCGCTCTGAACGGGGCTGTTTTGGCAGGGGGACTGAACTGCTATTGGGCTTCATCCTTATGGGATTTTGATCAAAGCTTGTCAGAGACATTACATTAGGACACCAGGAAACTAGTTTAATTTGTTGAAATAGGGTATTATATGTCTCCTTTAACCCTAACCCTAACCCTAACCCCATGCTCCAGTGACTACAATATCACTGCTATGATTATCATTAGTTTTAACCCGATTTTTTAGTTGGAAACCTGAGAATAAACCAGAGTAGATCAAAAGTATAAAAATGACATTTATTGGACACAGTTAAGTTGGGCTCTAACAGACAAAAACCTCTCTCTGGGTCTCAGTGGGCAAAGAGCCCTTAGATCTGGGTGATGGGCATTATCTCCTGGGCTCGATCCGCCTCCTCAAAGGAGGACTGGACACAACCAAGTCCTATTGGCCAGTTACCTCTGGGCAGGAACAGGCCAGGTCCTAATTCATGCAGATGACACTGGAATGTGGTAACAAAGACGTGGATCTAATGCCAGGGAACTAGTTTAACTTGTTGAAATAGGGTATAATACGTCTCCTTTAAAGATGTCGCACTCGGTTTTAACAGTCATTTGACGGATTTCGCTGGCTCCTCCCTCTGTCCAGATCAAGATCACCTCCATGAGCGACATCAAGAGCCGCTGGCAGCAGTGGTCCGAGCAGCACGTGGTGGGCCAGAAGCTCAACCCCTTCAGCGAGGAGTTCGACCACGACTACGCCATGGCCCAGCGGCTCCGCAAGGGCGACTCGGGCTACGGCCGGCCAAAAGACGGCTCCAAAACGGCCGAGCGGGGCGACCGGGCCCAGCGCCACATCCACCGCGAGATGGAGGAGATGGTGTGGATCATCAGGGACATGGGCCTCCAGGACCGGGAGGGCCGCACCGCCATCACGTTCGGCCGCCTCTTCGACCGCTACGTGAAGATCTCGGACAAGGTGGTGGGCATTTTGCTGCGCTGCCGCAAGCACAAGATGCTGGACTTCGAGGGGGAGATGCTGTGGAAGGGGCAGGACGACGAGGTCATCATCACGCTGAGGGACTGAGGGACGACCAGAGCCGCCGTTAGCCCGGTTCTTTAGTTGGAAACCTGAGAGTATACCGGAGTAGATCGAGAGTACAAAAGTAACATTTACTGGACACAGTCAACTCATTGACTGCCAGCCATTTTCAGAACAGAGAGTCCCATACTGCCAGAGTTTTTTGAGCATTTTGACTGATTTTTCAAGAGCCACAGAATAGTTTGTGCTATGACTATGTAAACACCGAACACACCAAAAGAAAGAGTAGATTCTCTTCTTTCATCAGGAAAAAAAGATTGTTTCTACCTTATTCCGTTCTTCCTGGACTTGTGTCTCACCGGCGACATTTTCTCTCATAGCGAACCGTTACCTTTTTATTATTTGCCTACAGTCTATGCTCATCTCCCATCAAAAGTGGCACTGCCACCTAGAGGGTCAATTTGTTAGTACATACTCTGTCTAGAAGCCGATATTTACGGACAAGCTTTAGCAGATCGTCCCCCAGCCACTCTCGTTGAAAAACATAAAAGACGTCTATAGACGTCTTTGGCAGCCAATGAGTTAAGTATATCAGCTGGGCTCTGACAGACAAAAACCTCTCTCTGGGTCTCAGTGGGCAAAGAGCCCTGAGATCTGGGTGATGGGCTTTATCTCCTGGGCTCCATCCGCCTCCTCAAAAGAGGACTGGACACAACCAAGTCCTATTGGCCAGTTACCTCTGGGCAGGAACAGGCCAGGTCCTAATTCATGCAGATGACACAGGAATGTGGTAACAAATGGTGTGTGTTTGTGTTGACTTAAAAGTGGATATAATACAAAATTTTAAAAAAAGAGATAAAGAAAAAGGGAGAAGAGAGAGTCTGTGGACACAGCTAGAGACTTTAACACAAAAATATAGTTCTATAAGGACTACGACAATCAGTAATTTACATAGATCATGTTATTTATCTATCTATCTATCTATCTATCTATCTATCTATCTATCTATCTATCTATCTATCTATCTATCTATCTATCTATCTAGCTATCTATCTAGCTATCTGCTATCTTATAGCATACTATGCTAAAGTGAGTTATTATAACCAAATTCTAACAGTGGTTACAGCCAGAGAATTTAACACAAAAATATAGTTATAAAAGGAATAAGCCAATCAGTCATTTACATAGATCATGTGGTAGCATACAATGCTAAAGGGAGTAATTATAGCCTAATTCTAACACCGCAAAGGAGACAAAAGGCACGGAGAGAAAATGAATTAAATTGGGGCTTGGTGCTGGTTTTGACCAGGAACACAGTCACAGGCCTCATTAGTCCTTCTCGGTTACCCCACAGATCAGGCAGTGAAGGGCAGCTATCTTTAAAATGCTAACCATGCCCGCCTTGCTAGCTATGCAACACGCTAGACGCCTCGAGAATCCCCAGCCATGCCAGACATGCTTTGCTCTGACTGCAGCCCTGCCTAAGCTTATTTTACACTCTGAAACAGGTCAAAAAGCCCAAATTTTGTTCTAAATTTAGTATGCGTGCTTCTGATTAGCTTCTTGTATCAGCGGCAGAATAAATCAGCACAAAAGGTCACAGTCAGAAACAAAGATGATGAAAATACTTGATGAGACCAAACCTTTTTTTTTTTTTTATAAATCCTGTTCGAGTAAGTCAACCTGAATTAAGCAAAAAGATAAGAATAAATTAATAGATTTAAAAGAAAATAATAGAGAGCTTTGTTAATAATGTCTATGTTTCAGTATGCGTATCGTCTGATATGAATTTATGTCAAACTTTAAATGTTCGTGTAGTTGTTATGTTTTTACATCCAAGTGGAATTCTGTTGCTGACAACAGGTTCTGATTGAATATATTTAATGAAAAAAAAGTCTCTTCACATCTGTGAACTCTGAGGACATTTTCTCTATTTTTAGTATGAATCTTTTTTGCGTTAGTGAACTAAATAGCTTCTTTGGGTCAAAGGAAAAGCTGTGACAGTGATGTGAATCTTAATTGAGGATGTTTGTGTTTGGAAAACCTTGTTTCTCATTCGTTCTCATTTGCTGTTAGAACAATCTGCGTCAACATAGAATTAAACGGCAGAAGAACAGTTCCTTCTTTCAAAGTGAAAGCGTGTGTGTGTCTTCTCATAGAAGGAAATAATAAAGAAAACTGCTAAATAACGTGTGTCTGCCTATTGAATAAATGGACAAACAACATCCATCCATTACTTTTTCTGAAAGCAGCTCACAGAAAACACAGAAAATACTCAGATTTATTGTAACGTATGAAGTCAAATATAGTCGTCAGTAATAGAAAGAGGTAGGGAAAACGTCCCTACAAACAAACTGAAGACAAATTTATGGAGAAGTCCAACGGGCCATGAAGCATTCTGACAATTCATAGTAATATTACAATAAAAAAATGACAATTTAGTGCTCATTTGAACATTTCCCTCCACAGTCTCTTCATTTACAGATGTAACTGTAACGAGTTCGGAGCCACTCAATCTGAAACTCATTCAGAAAAATGTCGATTTCTAGACGTTTATATTTTTTTGGTATCATGTTTTTTATACCAAAACATTGGACTTAAGGAGCTAAGTGAGTGGCTTTAAATGTGTCATTTCTAGCTTCTTAAATCTTCCTCACGAGGTCTCAGATGATCAGGACCAATCGTGCCACGGGTGACCTACATTTAGGTTTGATTTATTTAGTTTTTTGGGAGCAAATGGCTAATTCGGGAGAGCATCGACTCTTTGTGGGTCTGAGTCTAAAAGGCAGAGACGGTCAAACATCTGCTGTCCTCTGAATTTCTGTGTTAAAACATCTGGCCTGGGTGGAAGATGTGCCATGGATGGCAACGCAAACTCTACTCAAATAAGAGTAAAATATTCTTGGTAAAACTACAATAACATGAGGACACGTGGAGAGCTTGTCCTCCACATTAGGCTATGGACCACATCTGGCCAGATGCACACATCTGTCTTACCTCACATGTTCCCACAAGGGCAGATTCAGTGACTTTTGGCTTTAAAAAAAACAAAAAAAAAGGAGAAGAAAAAGGGAAAAAAAGGAAAAAAAGGGAAAAAAGGAAAAAAGGGAAAAAAAGGAAAAAAGGGGAAAAAAGGAAAAAAAGGAAGAAAAAGGGGGAAAAAAGGAAAAAAATAAATAATAAAAAAATTTTAAAAAATTTAAAAAATTAAAAAACAAATTTAAAGTGTTCCTTTATTTTTTTGGGGGGGAAATTCATCTCTCCGACATCCAGAGCGTTTTTAAAGCTCAGCTCTCCTGGGACGGGGTCAAAGGTCATGATGCAGATTTAACAAACGGATGCTCACGACTGAGTGGAACTATTTTTATTAACAGCTGAAATAGAATAACGATACACCAAGTTGTGCATTTACGCAACGACGAGTTTTATCTAAACAACAGTGCAAAGAACAGAACGGAAATTACATTGTTCTTATTTTTTTCTCACATTTTCCGATAACATTCAGGTCTTCAAGGCAGTACAACATGAGCAACAGGTGTGAAGCGATGCTTTGTCGATGCTAATCTACGGACAGGAAGAGAGTAAAACCTTAAAAAGAACTATCGTAACCGCACATGGAAGCCTTATTTCGTCGAAAAGCAAAAAAACGGCCTCTTTATTGAGGCTTTCCGAACAGTTGACTGACGATAGTTGAATAAGTTTTGTTTTAAAAAGGCAATGGAGCTGAAAACAGGCGCAAATATTTGGAGGTTCATCCCTGTTTGAAGCACTGGTTCAGCTTCCTCTTTGTCCCCTTTCTGCGGTGCATTCGGGGCCCCGTGGGAAAATGCCACGCCTGGAATCTGGCAGCATTCAGACGCGAGAATTTAACCCTTTAAAGCCTGATCCAATAATAAAACAAAACAGAAAATTACTTTTTTTTTTGTTTGAATTCCTTATTTGGCCTTTTAACAAAATATGTAAAAAGAAAAAACAGAAATATATTTTTAATATTAATAATTTATTACTATGCGATGAGTCAAGATTATTTTTTGTATAGTCTTCTGCCCCCTGTTATCAGGTGTATCTGATTGTGTACAATAGGATTTTGAACAAAGTTTTTACCAATAAATTATGCAAAAAGTGTCAGACGCAAAACATTTCAGAAACCGTATGAATCAAATATGATACATTTGGCATTACAGGGTTAAGGCCGCGAATGCGTCATGGGTGTTATGGCTTTAGAGGATATACAGTGGGGGAAATAAGTATTTGACCCCTTGCTGATTTTGCAGGTTTGCCCACTTACAAAGAATGCAACGATCTATAACTTTAATCATATGTACATTCTAACAGTGAAAGACAGAATCCCAAAGAAAATTCCAGAAAAATCACATCATATGAATTTATAAAAAATTGATAACCATCTGATGAGGAAAAATGAGCATTCTTTGTAAGTGGGCAAACCTGCAAAATCAGCAAAGGGGTCAAATACTTATTTCCCCCACTGTAATAACAGGAGCGCGACCCTTGAACTTTGTGGGTGGAGAGACAAACGGAGCTGAACGTTTCCCAACACCCTAAAAATATGGTTCCAATCGAGCTAAAGTAGGACGCTTCGGAGGAGAGGATCCTCCAGAGGGTGTGTGGGGGAACGCTTGTAGGAGGCCGATTCCATCTCCTCTAATCACAGCAGATTAGAGGAGATGTTGCTTTTGGGATCCGGATGTTACTTTTGGGACGAGGGCTGCTTCCAGCCTCCCACTCCTCCTCCTCCTCCCCGGGATGAAACCTGATGGATGGAGACTCGTGAGGAAAAACCCACGTACGTCCAGAGAAAACGATCCGGGCTCGGGAGGGGATTCGCTTTCAGGCCCATCCTCTACAGTAATCTGTTCATCCATGTTCGGGGAGCCCTCGACTCATAAGAACCTCCATCAAAAGCACATCAACCCCTGTTAGACCGAGCATTTAAAGGATTTTAGAAGTGAGCAATTTTAGAGGCGATTTAACCCCATTGCTGTGTTTTTTGCTGCCATCATAAAAGGGGAAATCTAGAAAAGGAGCCTAGCTGGGGCAGGGATTCTCAGCCTCCACACACAGGTTTCATCCAGCTTTTTTTGGGGCATTTTTCCACTTTTAAACCAAACAGATTTAAGTCATAATTGCTCTTTCAACCTGCTTCGATTATCTGATCAGGAAGTAAAAGTGAAGTAGTGAAATATTGCATCAAACTTTCCATGGAACAACTGTTTTGAAACCAGCAGATTGATGGAAAATACATAGGGAATAAATTAGCTTGTTTGTTATGTGACCAATGAGGTTTCCTGACTTGAAAACGGGAGAGTTTTGATTATCGGTTTTTGAGAAAACAGCATTTTCTGTTGTTTTTAATCCTTCATTCCTTTACATAGCCAGTTTATGGGTGAGATTGCAGCCTTTGCATGGAAAACGAATCCTTAAATCAGCCTGAATGCTCAAGTTTTAGATCAAAGTAAGGCATGGACTGATGGTCACAGGTGGATGTGAAGCTGGTGGCAGGTAAAACAGGATGTTTTTCCCTTTAAAAATAGATGGCCAGCAGCCTCCAATCTTCAAACGTCAACTAAACACGGCTAAAATCGCGTATAAATAAATAAAGTACTGTTAGACATGTCGATTTTTTGCAAAGACGCAACCTTAAAAACAAGAGAAAGAGGTCCATGAGACTTATAGAGTTCTTACAGATATCAGCTTGGGTTTGTCCTCATTTTAATCTATTGACTGAAAACAACCGAGAAGCTCGAGCAATGTGTTCTTTAGCACAGAAAGTAAGCCTTGTTCACAGCTTAAAAACAATTTCCTATGTCCTGACAGAGTATTTCCTGCCTTTTAAGGCCTCTACTTACATTATAGCTGATAGAAATGAACACTTTAGCATCCGGGTGGCAGACACGATCAAAGAAAACACAAAAAAAAATACATTTCTGGGTCAGAATACTCGTCTGTCACTATTTCTTAAAGTTACAAAATGTCCCAAAAAGGTGAATAGGATGATTAGAATGACACAATCGGCGCTAACGAACGAAAAGCTTTAATCCTGTTAGCGGGATTTGAGTACATTGCCTCTTACAAACAGTCAGGAATGAAGCATTTTTCTAAAGATGCTTTTCTTTCAGAGTCCAGACGGTTAGCGTGCAGCATCTCTTTTGTTTTAGCCAGAGAAGAGTGGAAACGGTTCTCTTTCGCCTCGAAATTGAGCCCTCAAACCATCGTTTTTGGCACAAAAAAACAAATAAAACCAACAAAGACAGAAACACACTCCTTGGGTCACAGATAGAGAACTTATTTTCTGTGTGATATATTCGAGCTATATTCTAAGTTCAACTTGTGTTAAAAAATAGTTCATTTGCTCTCAACAGCCCATCTGTCATCTCTTCTATTATTTAAATGATATTAACATTGATGCTACTGTAAATTTTTAGGCTATGAAAAATCCCTTCATTTTCCAGACTACTCTCTATGGGATTGAGTACAAAAAAAAACACTTTTTTGTTACATTCTGTTTCTTTTCTCTGACTTCTGATAAAAATCCCTCGGAAATTGATTAACTATCTCCCTTAAATGATTATTTTTGGGGGTAAAAATACTCCTACCCATCATCATCTGAACCGTTCATGGGTTTTCTTTGTACCCTGGAAATATGGCCGTCCACGAAAGGACCGAAGATGGATTAAAACTCATGCGATCAAAGGGGGGAACGTGCAAACTGCATGCAGAAACTCAGACCCAAAGCCTTCTTGCAGTGAGTAACAGTGCTAGCCAGGTCCTGGATCAACATCTATTTTCCTGGAACGTGTGTCTTTCGTGTTTTTCCGGCTGTTCGGGGCTTTTTAAGCCACACACAGATCCACCGTGGGGCCAGCTTCAGCTTCATTTTCTTGTGAGTTAATGTGACTTAAACTTTGTTTCTTTTTTTTCCTGTGCAGGATAATATCTGCAGGTTTTTTCAGTCTAAACGACCAGATGAAGCCAAAATCATGTAATATAAAATCCTGAGACAATCGGACTTAACCCTTGTGTGGTGTTCATATTGTTGTTACTCAGCCAGTGTTTTGTGGGTCTCACCGACCCGTTGCATTTTGTTGCTTTTAATGCCTCAAAATCAAACACTTTTATGTTCAAATACTGAGCAGATGTTTACCTTATCTTAACTTCTCTCTCTCATCCTAAATCAATCTTCAATCCGGACATCTTATATGTAATAGAAATGTGTAGGGGGGGTGTACGATGTGTGGTCATTAAATATGAATTCTGATACATGTTCTTCACAGAAAATGAGCCAAAGCCAGTGAGTCTCAGTTTGAAAAATTAATTCATTGTGTCATTTTTCTTTTAGTAAAAAATGAAAACGGGTCCCACAGACCCGAACACCACACAAGGGTTTATAGAAATAGAGATTTTTGGGGGGAATACACTGTTTTCCACGGCAGAATAAGAGGTCCTATGAGACAAAGCCACCTCTGTTGATATGAGACAGATCACCACTTATTCCTGTTTTCTAATGTTTGAGGATACAGCCTCACTGGCCTGATGGATACTAGAGGGAATGTGGAGGAAAATAGCCCTTTCCTAGGAACTTTAAACTCTTTCTGATGCTTTCTTGTGATGATGCGGCTGTATTGCACTCGTCTTTCCGGTTTAAAAATGGAGCACGAACACTGAAAACCCGATGACTTCACTCGTCCTGCTTCATTTGAATGTTTTATTGCTTTAAAGAATGAAACTTTAGGACATAGACACCGCATTATTGTCCCTGCAGCACTGCTACTGGCAAAACAGAAGCCGATTTTTGCTAATTCTTGTAAAGAAAAACTCCATTTCCTATTCCTATTGGTATTGCAAATTAGATTAATTTCGAAAAAACTTGCCTCAAAGAGGAACAAGGCGTGATTTAGGTCATTTTCTGTTTTCTTTTCTTCCTGAAAACATAAGCTTAAAGTAAAGATTAGTCACCTTAGTGAGAATCTGAACTGAAATGCTACATCTAGACGGGTTCAATTGGGGTCTTAAATCCAACGCGGTTATTTAAATTCTCCTTTTCTGTTTAGCTTACAGCTCATGCTTAGTCTTACCAAGTTGTCTGCTAATTAATTAGAAGTTTTAATCAGTCATGCAGATGCTACCCACTAATGCTACAGTCTTACGTAAACTAGCAAGAACATCGCTTCCCTCTCGCAGAGTTTTTGACATTTATCCTCTAAGTCAGTATAGATTTACTTTGGTTCAATGCAAAAGACACTAACAATGGCATTTATACATAGAAAAAAGACATTAAGAACCCTAAAGTGCCCAGATAAAGACGTATACTTCACAAAAATGTGTGTTTTCTTCAAATTCACCCTCTCTGTGTCTCGTTTTGTTAGAGCCTGACGTCCTTTGTTTGGATGATGGTGTGAGGATTTAATATTCTCTTCCTCATGCCCCCCCCCCCCCCCTCCGGTCAGAGTCGTGCCGGGGCTAATCACCAGGTTGCGTGGCTTTTTGTGGACTGGGGCTGTAATTTGGAGCAGAGCGATGTAGCAGATGCCACAGGGTAATTGAAGAAGAGGAAGAGGAAGACTCTTCCTGGTAGAAATTGGCATGGTAGAAAGTGTTATCGGTCAACTATTAAGCCAAAGCTTTAAAAAAAAAAAGAGGATCATGATGAATATATCTGTATAGTATTTTTAAACTACACTTAAAACAGGATACACAGCAGGCTGTCAGTCCTGTGTCATTACCATCCTCATTTTTAAATCCTTTTTAAAAATCTTTTTACCATGTGTCTGGTTCCAAAAGTCAAAGTAAACACCAACCCAAGTGAAGTGACGTTCACAAGGAGGGTAAATATTAAAAATGCCCGGCTCTTTCTGTTCATACGGAAATAATTTGCCAATTCAATAAAAAAATTTAAAAAAAAACACTGCATTTAAATCCAATTTAGTTCAGTCCGCTGTCCACCATTTTTCTTATTTTATGAACCAGGAAGTATTCCGGATCACATGATAGCTCTATTTTACACACAGAATCTCTCAGGAGGCCCCGCCAGGTATTTACAGCCTTTTCCTGATGCGTCTGGGTTTAAATGAAACCTCATGGTGTGTTATATCTAGTTAACCGATGCACTTATGAGTGAGACGAGCTTAAACGAGGTCTCAGATCACATAAAGTCACTAATAAGGATGCATATTGTCGTTTGATCGAAAAAGAATCCTCATCACGTGACCGGGAGCTCATGCAGGCTCCTGGGCTGTGATGTTTTATCTCTATTTATGGACTAAGAACATGCTACTGTACAGCTTGAAGATTAGATCCACTCACGGGCTCTGGATTCTCGAGTTCAGATCAAAAATGCTGAAAATGGGCTTTAGTTTACTTCGAAAACGAACCTGAACGTCAGCGAACAGGTCTAGTCACAACGGAACAAGAGTGACCAACACAAAAGAGGAAACACGTCTCAAAGTTTTGTTTGTGTACGATACAACAAAGTCCTCCTCGGTTCTGACCGAAAGCCTCCACAAACCAGAGGAGACGGGGTTCCTCAGGGTCTGGCCTGGGCCCCCTAAGCGTTGGGGGGAAGGCGGGAATCTGAAGCCGAACCGGATCGAGTTCCCTGCAGAAATCCATCGGCCCGCTAGCTTTGAAGCCTCCTCATTACGTAGGTTTTTAGTTTACTCCGTCAAAGAGATCTGAGGTCTGTAAAATTCTCCCCGCGAGTCCGAGGGACGGCAAAAGAAACTCGCCTCCTGTGAGCTTTTTTGGGGAAAAGATTCTGTAGAAAATCAAAAGAAATTATCTTACATTTCAAACGAATGCTATGTACAGTACAGTAGTCTCCAAACCGGGAATGTGATTGGACCCTGGTGTGATCGGACCTGTAAACGAGCCCCTTGAGAGAGATTATTGACGCACAAAGAAGGAAGTTCTCCAAAGATCCAGCAGTTAAATCTGAGCGGGTCCAGTCCCGCCCTAAGTCTAGTCCAGATAGGCCCTAGTCTTAGGACCTCTCGCAGCACGGCCCGATGGTGCTCTCCAGGGACATCTGGGAGGAATGGCGGATGAGCGGCGCCATGGCGGGGTCCACCATGGAGGAGGTGGGGAACAGCTTGTACCAGCCAATCACCATCGAGCTGAGGTCCAGCTCCTCCAACAGGATTCGGGCCACGCCCATGAAGCATTTCCGGTCCATCCGGCCGTAGTTTCCCCAAACGATCACCTGCACAGGAGGAAGATTAAGAAAAATCAGGAGGGAAGACACCCTGATTACAGAAGGCCGTAATCCATAACCCTACCGAGGCCAGTGAGGGACAAAACTGTGGACTGTGAGTTACTGTTGCCTGCAAAACCTCCTGAGGATTATCGAGTATAATCCATTTCCTTTTGTTCTTATGATTTGTAAAATTGTTTATAGTAGTAAAGAGATGCATGCAGGCCCGTGATTGGTCCAAGCCCAGGTCAGGATTTAAAGTTTAAAGCATGTACAGATCAGTCCCAAGATAGAAAAATGGGGAAAAGAAATAAATATTCTCATAAACTGCATATTCACACATACACTGTTAAACCAACTATTTCGGTACTGAATATAATATAATAATTAAAATAATAATAATAATAATAATAATAATAATAATAATAATAATAATAA